CTCAGCACGGCTTCATCGGAACTTCGGATGATGTAGCGATGACTTATTCACACAAATAATTTCTTCTCCAGCTTCCGATAAGGTCATCAATCCCTTCCATTCGCGTTCCAAACGAAATGGAAGGTACGCCAGCCTGAGTCTATATGACATTCTTCTAAACCCAGCTTTTATTCATATGACTCGCTGCTTGTCTATCCTCCATCTTATATGACAGTATCAGTTTGAGACGCATACCACGTACCAAGAGCAACAGACATCATGGTCTCGTATGGGTAACTTGGCTCTTGGCTACCGGACCGTTTGTGTGTGCATTCTGGCGGGGATGCATGACAGAAGATCATTTGAGCTTTATTGCAATAATGTAGCAAAAAATGGTCAAGCAAATGCCATGGGACTGAGAGGATTGATAGGGAAACTGAGAGTAAACAATCGATAATTTTGTCGTAAAACTAGTATTACTGTTAGATCCCATTTGATTAGGTGTACTCTTGCATATCCAGACTTCACAAGGGGTTGATCCCACTTTGAAAAGCTGCCGAGAGAGGTCTCCCGCTAGTGTGTGTGCGTGTGTGTGTGTGTGAGTGCGTATCTGCTACTGCCCCTCAGAATGACTTTTCGAATCCCACGTAATCGTGGACCTCTCTGGTCCTCTCCTCAGTGACGTCTGTCCGTATTATGTCCGCGTGTTCACGAGTTTGTTTCAGAACAGGGCGGTGAACGTTGAGTGTGCTTAGCCCATTTGATGTGTGACGTCTGTCACAGCAGGCCTGTACTCATCCGCCCTAGTGATCGACCCCTGCTGTCTCTCTATCCTCCTCGACGTCCATACTCTGCCCTTCTTCTTCTGTCGCCCCGTCAGTTAACACTAGACCTCAACAACACCGCGAACTCACTGGCCGACAGGCACGACAGGCAATTGAGCCAGTGTCTGGGCTCATCCGACCAAGTGGGTCTGTTTCTCTCCCTCTTTCGTTTTCCCCCTCTACTCTCTCCCCTCTTCCGTACTCTTACTCTTTCTCTCTCTCTATCTCTCTCTCTCTCCCACTGTCGTCTGGGTGAGGTTGACTAGTCAAGCTGCGAGCACGGCCTTTCGCCTCGACTTGGCAGCTCTCGTGTGGCCGGATCACGAGAAGGCATGCTCATGTATCACACGAGTTGCCTGGCTGGCTTAGTAGACATTCCAAGTAGCATCGATTTTATTGTCTCTAGGCCAGGCAACCAGATCCCTACTCGCTGCTATGGCTTCTCTGCAATCCTTGAGGCAACAACCTCGTAGCTTCGGGCTCGTAAACCAACTGGGCAAGTGATAATCACACCCAATTGGAGCGTTTTGCTCGTGGGATGGGTGTGCTTTCTCGTCCCCCCTGGCCTTGTGACGGGCGATATCGGACCCCATGGCACCACTTGGTACCTTTCCGACAAGAACCTACCTCGCCATTTCGCCAGATGTTGTTTCGGTCCTCTTTGTAGACCTCCTTGTCCACGTCCAGCAAGGAAAGTCCAATTTCTCAGCTTTCCCCTCCACAGGAGCTGGGTCCCTTTGTAATTTAGCAGCTCTGATGAGAGGAAATGAAATTTCCACAACCATCATCGGATACTTATTAAACTCGCTTGTCATTCCGCTCGCTTTCCGATCGCCCCTTTTTCAAGCATACTTGCTGTTATCTCTTTCTCTCTCCGTCTGTCTGTCTTTCTTGTGATACATACGATTAAACGCAGAGCTATGCAGGCATTTGTGCCGTCGTTACTTGGACATTGAAGGTATCAGGCTTAGGCGGTTTCGAGCCAGTGAGTGTCCGATAGTCGATGATAAA